CTCTAGAGTCATTCCATCAAGTCCTGTCGCCTCGCCTCGTTTTGGATTAGCGACAGCTTTTGCAGGTGTTTGAAGCTAATCAAATTCAGCTTATCTGTAGGTCAGTTAAACTGCTTCTCAAAGTGTTTCCAGTCTTCTATTCTGACAGGTGATTAAAGCGCCTGCTTTACAACAACTTAGATAAAGCTACTAGTATAAACAAGATCGTTTTCCTTTGCACTAGTTGAAGCATACTGATTTCTAATATTGATGAATGTGTCGTGTTCTATTACGCCCGAAGCCCTCCTTGAACATCGCTAAGCCAAGCAGTAAGCCCCGCTACTGAAACTTCAAAGCTCGGATTTGAAGCAGAATGTTCTACTCGAAGCGCAAAGGATCGGAAAATATGCGCTACAGCGGGTGAAAACTGATGAAGACTCGCAAACTAGGATGAAACGGTTGTCCAGTAGTACTCCTTGATGCTCCAATGGTTCTCTAACTGACGTCTACTTGTAATCAATCCCTTTATTTTTTTCAAACTGATACCAGTCTGGAGACAAATGACTAATTTAAAACAGAATATCACTTATATTATTAAATCATTAGACTACTTAGATGATAATCTATGCTTTCATGTGATCATCAAACTTCTTTTAGACTCTGCGAATATATAAGCAGAATGTCAGTTGATGTACTTTGAACGGACAATCTATGACTTTGCAAACTGTAATGTGAAGCGAACTTTGAGTTTTCTCAATAAGGTCAGTGAAGGGTGTTAATAGTTGACTGTAAATGTGTAACGACAGAAGACAAGAGTCAGGCAACAGATCGTTTATTGAGAAAATCAACAGATATTTATAGATTTTTATGTACATTATTATTCGTTATTGTTAGCAGAGTAGCAACATCTTCTGATTGGTTGTTTTCCCGCTGAAGGTTATTCTGTCACCTCTTTGTTGCCGTTTCTTGGGCAGTCTGGTGATATATCTGCGAATTGTATCCGCCCACGCTAAGTCTGCTGTGATTGGTTGTTGAGTTAAGCTGTGTTCTTGTTTTCTCTCCTGACCCCACTTCGGGACGTAAACATTGACGTAAATTGTTGCATACAATTTTGGCTTGCAGACAGCTTTCACCACAAATGAATTGACCAACATTTGAATACAATAGAATACAATACAGACTTTCATCAACAGATGTGATCAGTTGATACTGTATATCAGATGACCTACCGGTCAGAGAGGATAAACAACAAGGAATTCTGACAGTCAGCCAACTAGGAGGGAGACCTTCAACTGACACCGCATGCCAATGTCTTGAGTGGTGCTCGAATGAGAACTGACGAGATGAGTGCGGGTTTAAGGATGACATCGAGGAGATTGTGTGAAGAAGGGATGAGAGCTTGTGGGCAACTGTAGAGCCAACTAAATAAGACTTTTAAAGCTCTATGTTCCACTGAGAGGAATGGTAATAATAATAATAATCATAAAAACTATCGATCTAGGAGACATACTGACGGAAAGATCAAATGAAGACATTTTCCTCTATGCATATCAAAGACAGAATTAAACTCACATGTGTATACAGTGTTAAACACCTACTATATTAGATATATACGTATATGTACTGAGATAATTGGCTTTTAAACCGATAAGTTAGTTCTAGGTCCAAAGTCTGCTTCACCTAATATAAAATCAAGTAAGCCATAACTTAGTTACTCTATTGTAAAATCATCATGAAATGTTGATAATTTATGTGTTTGTATATGAATAATGTGGGAAACACGTTACCCGCAACAGATATTCACGTACTAGTCTATGAACCTTATTCATTGTGTAATGCCTGTGAAGATATTTCTCATTTCTTCACAGTGGGGGCTCTAACTCGAAATTCTTTGACTGAAAGTCAAGTTCATCAGCCGCATCTCTATTAGTATATATTGTTGTTGAACGATTGAAGACGGTTGGCAGGATGCCTTGGACATTGATGTCGTGCTTGTTGACACTCACCAGTCAGCAAAGCGTAGTATCTACAGTCTTGAAAAGAACTTATTTCCCTTCTGATATTCAAACTCAGATCACCAAGTGAGTGCTACAGTCAGAGATGACGTTACCACTGAGTTCTACTAAGAAATCAGGAAGAGAATCTCTGGACAATGGGAAGCTGATTGCCTCCAACCATCATATAATAAAAATTCACGAGTACACCGTAATGGCGAGCCACTTGGCATGGTGGCCATATTGCAAACTTGGCTAATAGAATTCAATCTGTACCAACATAAAGGTCTGGAGTTCATGGCATTGGTGTCCAATATACATATATGTATTCAACGGTACACACATTAAAATGGACAGACACATAGGGCTTGGTAATACCGCGTGGTTCTTAGGGTTACCACAAGTGCATATCAATTACAAGATAGATGAAAAACCACATATATGTAATTTTCAAGTATTGGTTTGGTAGGGATTTTGTTTGATTGCATGGAGAATTTCATCATGAGCTGACATCAGTTAGAGAAACACTGGAAAACCTGGGAGTACTGGACAGCTGTTTCGTCCTAGTTTGGGACTCCTCAGCAGTACGCGCCCACTGGGATTCGAACCCAGGACCTTCTGGTTACAAGGCGACTTTAGAAACTTAACATGGGTGAAGCAGGTAATGTCTCGTCAGCTTTTCCGTACGTAAATAAGACAGATTTAATATGAAAATTGTTATAACTGTTCGGGATATTAAATGAGGGACGTTGTCGCCTAGTTCTGTCTGCGCCTGACTAATATGCCTATCTGCTTCTGGTACCTTCCGACTCAGCGAACCACGTAAATATCAAAAGACAAAGTCTGGTCTGTGACTGTGTATTGTAGTACAACAACTACGACGACAACGACAAATAAACTTATTTAGGAAATGGTATTTATACAATTTTACAACCAATAGAGACAGCTAACAGTATTTGAAATAATTGGTCGTAATAGTCAATAACAAAATGCGTGGGAATGATGATATACCACTTATGCGAGATTAACAGTCATTAAGATAATTGAACAATAACAAAGTGCCTGGGAAATGATAATATAAGACATATGCGAGGTTATCAGTCATTAAGATAATTGAACAATAACAAAGTGTGTGAGAATTGATGATATACAACTTATACGAGATTAACAGTCGTTAAGATAATTGAACAATAACAAAGTGTGTGGGATCCTATCAAAAATAGTAAGACAAGTGGTTCAACGTAGACGACTTCATTTTCATCAGGTGTACCATCGCATTTATTTACACTTTTTTCCCACAAAAGAGAGGATCATAACTAAAGTGGTGATTATGATTATAATGACTCATCAGACTTGTTGCTATCCTGTTTTTTAAATTGAAAAATGGTATATAAATGCTTTTGTACAGCTGTGGAGAGTGAAGTCACTGCGAAAAGAGCCTGTACGCTGAACTACTACTATTTTTTCTCATTGATGCTTGAATGCAGATTGATCATAAAACAGATATATGTCAGACCTAATTTCCGGCTTTTTCACTTATTGTAAGTGTAGAAACTTTTCGCTAGTTGACTACTTGTACTTAAATTGGTTTGCAGCATTGCTTCTTTTCTTTGCATCCTTTACGCAAACATTTAGAAATCATTGATTAAGGTTTTTAGCAATCTCCTACCAGAGTAGCTGTTCATTTCGCTTATAAATAAGAAAAATAATTATTTATAATCACTTTATTCCACTGCGTTCCACCTGGAGCGTACGTCTTTAAGCTCTTTTTACAGATGCTGGCGAGACTCTCGTATTGGCTCTCACTGGTTTATTCAGGAAGGTACGGGAGACAAAGAGTGTACCATCAATGTGGAACGAAGCCATTATCGTCCGCATCTTTAAAAAGGATCGACGTAATTATTGTAACAATCATAGAGGTATCAGTCTGCTACCAGTTGCGTCTAGAATATTGGTTGCTGTCTTCCTCCACAGACTGTGCAAAACACGTGAAAGAGTGATTCGCGAAGAGCAGGCTGGGTTTCGTTCAGTTCGTGGATGCATTGATCATGTGTTCACCCTTCGTCAGTTGCCTGTGAAACGTGGCCTCTTCGTGCTGAGTTTGTGCGGCGGCTCTGCGTGTTCGATCATCGCTGTCTCCGCAGGATTGCTTGCGTTCGATGGCATCATCGCGTGAGTAATTCTGAGGTTCGGCGGCGTGTGTTTGAACACAGTGGCGATCACCATTCATTGAGTGTCGTCATCTGGAAACACCGGCTCCGGTGGCTTGGACATGTGCCGCGAATGTCATCCCAGAGGCTTCCGTACAGGTCTCTGTTCGCTAACCCTGGGACGGGATGGAAAAGGCGGAGGGGTGGTCAGTCCATGACGTGGCGTTGTGTGATGAAGGATGTTTGTGTTAGGTTAGCATCAGTTGGTGCGTCACGACTCCCTGGTTGGGGTCCGCGAGATAGCTCAAGTCGATGGCTTGAAACGTATCGGATATGGCCAAGAATCGCAGTCAATGGCGAACGTGTTGCAATTTCCTTCTTTCTTCCCTTCCCCATAATAGTTGATGAATACTGTTTGAACTTGTTAAGTATGGCTTTTTCTTTCCTGATGCAGTTTTTTTTCGTTCTCCACCCATATGTTTACTTTTTATCTATGTTGTTTTATTATTATTGTGTGGAGCATCTTTTTGGTGCCATATTGTACCAAGTTTTTCTGCATTTAAATAAATAAATGAGCTTCGAAGCCCCAGTAGCAGTAGCAGTGTGGAGTTGCTATCCTCTCCTCTTCACCAGGCTGAATACCGGTTAGGCGAGGTTTAGAAGTCCGTCGGCCGGTAGTCGAACCCAAATCATGTCGACAGTGATCGTGGTGACGAGCAACTTATCACTAAATCGTCGATGTATTTCTGCATTGTGCAGCACTTTTAATTGAACTGTGTTGTATATGACTAAGTGTATGATATATTTCTTGCCAGATTATTGATTTCTATTGTGCTGATTCTTCTTTTTATTATTATTTATCCCCCCCCCCTTATAGAATGGTGGTATGGCAGTTATATGCGGTTCTAGAGCACATTTAGAAGAACAAGCAATTGCTAAACGTCATCCATTAAGAAATTTACTCATGTATGGATTTAAATTTTTCGTTTGGCTTGTTTGTGTTCGTGGAGTTCGTGATACCCAGTGTGGATTTAAATTATTCAGTAGACCTGCTGCTCGTGTACTATTTCATAATTTACATGTTGAACGTTGGGCATTTGATGTAGACCTCTTGTATTTAGCTAAACATTTTGAGATGAATATAGTTGAAATACCTGTTCATTGGAAAGAAATTCCAGGTAAGTAGTTTTTTTTCGTTTCTTTGTTTGAATTATTATTAACTTCAGTGAAGTTTTGAAATATCTTTTTTCTTCTAAAATGTGTTCAATTTTTGCATAAATCGGAGTCAGCTTTCATAAAAGACACTGTAGACGTTAAATGAAGCTTTCTAGTAATCTAAAAGTGTATTTTGGTGGATAGTGACTAGAGCAGTTGAATCTAGCACGTGTATTTCGTCCCACTAGGGACTCTTCAACCGAATGCACACTTGCATTCTCCAGTGAGTGATGGTGTTTCCACTGAGTCTGGAACCCCGTACCCATCGTTTCAAAGGTCGAAGTGTTATCCACTAGACCATCTGGGCAACGACAGTTGCCACGTCTTTTGAAACGGATGTCAGTTAGTATTTTTTGAAAGTCAATTTTAATTTTCCCGTTGACTTATTGGACTGGTATGTTCGGCATCAGGTTGACGTGTTACCTGCTAGTGCAGACGCTCCTATAATGTCCCTGAATTCTGAGTAGAGCAGCGTAGGGCTTCAGTGGCACGTTTTTGTTAAGCTAGTTCATCGATTGTCCGTTAGCTTTCATCTTCGCCCCACAATGTATCCTATATGTTACCTTCGAACCAAGGCTCAACTCTTTTCCCCTTAGGTTTCCACATGAGTGCCTGCTTAACGATCTTTTCGGATTGTATTCATTTAATCCGCATTTCCTTCTGCTAAGTTTATTATTAAGTTCTAAGCTCGGGATATGAGGAAAGGTAGGGCGTGAAACTACCGACGACCTTGCCTTACACCGGAAAATCAATCTAATCAATATAGAAACTTTTCAAGCATAGAAAAAAGAAAAATACCACAAAAATGTGGACTTCAGACATTGTGGTAGAATATAATTCGATTTTATTTCATTAAATAATTATGTAGAATCATAATTGTTTTAAAAAGACATGTGTTGTGTTTTAATCTTGAAGACTTAAGCATTAAAGTCACTAGATATCTCATATACAGTAAAATTATTTACTATGGGTTGTTCCACCCTGTATTAATTTGAAAGTGGTGGCTTAACTGAAGTCTAATAGCAAAACTAATGATAAGTTGGTGAATAAAAAAAGAAATTTACAAGCTAAAAACTATGACATTATATTAAACATGTTGTTGAGTAATTGTTCATGCAAATCTGATGTTAATGGAATGAAATTTTGTCTGAAAAGGAGAAAATTCACAACACAAGAATGGATTGATTGCGCTTACGAACGCAAAATAAGCCTCTGAAGTATACGTGTCAAATAAATGTCTTAATGCTCTCGGTGGACTTAAATTCACAGTCGAGGAGTAGTCTTAGCTTGGAAGAGAGTCGTCTAGGTGATCAATCGGGAGACTGCATAGTCTCAAGTCAGATAAAGAGAGGTCGTCATTGGAAGCTTTGCGCGGATCACAACCTATTTGTAGCCATCACCAACTTAACAGCACAACCATCGCCTCCTCGCTCTGTCATCCAAGCGTTGCTTCAGGTTGATCACATTACTGTCAGCTTCCAATAGCGTGGACGCATATAGGACAACCTCTTTCCTCTGGAGTAAAAATGTCTGGATTTCGATCGTGCTTTAATATGTGTCAGGTCATTTGGTGATCATCATAAATGGTGTCCTCAGCAGGTTGACGTAAGTAAATTTGCAGTACCTACTGCCTCTGAGAAGTATGAAACCAAGCTAGAAGCATGGTTAGTTAGCTACTGACCTTTTAAATAATATGGATGATTATGGCTGCATTTACAAGACGCTACGAAATTGGCAAGTAAAGCCTCTTACGGCTTACCAAAAAGCTCTTTTAAAAGTCACTGGGTTTCTATGAGTTTCTTGCAACTTTTTGACGCCTGTCAGTCAGTTACTCATTCCCCTAGTGAGCTAGTATAACAACTTGCTTAATGCTTTCATGTTTAAAATCAGACAGTGCTCACATATAGACCCAAAAGCCTAGTCATCAGAACGTGCATATCACATACACTCAGCAGCTTCATGTAGCAACCATGTGAAACAGTTCCAGCTCATCCAATCCACTGGAAGTAAGAAGTACGGTGTTAGCAAGACGATTTGTGAGGGAAATGGTATGGCGATTTAGAACTTGAAGAGATACGTGAAACTCCTAGCTGACCAGCAGCGCCAGCACTCGCGTCAGTTCCTGAACGACGCACTCACCTCGTTTACTAGCCGGTAGGTGAGTAAGTGCGGTAAAAAGGAAAGGTTGTGATTGTGTGGACAGCAACTTCACCGCTACTAAAACGTTAACGCTTGAATTCCCTTCTCCCCTTATGTTCCATTGGGGGGGGGGGGGTACACGGAATAACAGAGAAAGATGGTATTCCGTTATTTACGCTGTAAAACTCACACTGCTAAACTGTCAATTGTGATTCTACTACTGATGATGAAAATGGGAAAATTGCTTGATTGATTCTTTATTTTCCTATTACAGGATCAAAATTGGTTCCAATTTTCTCATGGATTCAAATGGCTAAAGATCTACTTATGATTCGTTTGAGGTATTCCCTAGGAGCTTGGAAAATTGAACCAGTTTATACATAATGTGTTATTGATGTAGTAAACATTCATTTAGTCATGATATTATTATTATTATCATTCTTTTCAATGCATCGTGTACATTCCTACTTGGGATTCTTGTATTTTATACTTTATACTTTTCTTCTTCTTCTTCTACTTCTTCTGTGAAGTTCCATTCCAATTATTGCACAAATTAAGTTGTTGTTTTTTTTTTCTCTTGTCATATTCTTCTATTACTCTACTTATTCAACACATCTGTGTGTATTGCTTTTTGTAATTTCCTCAATGAGAGAGTACTTAACTACAACTTGTACGCAGGATTATGCGAGAACACAATGGATTGTTGTTGTATTGGATTGGACTGGATTGTTGTATAATGATTATGACTAAAAAATTTCGGACAGGTGGTATTAGTGGTGGTGTCTTGTGTGTTTTAAACTCAGTTATCCAGAGCAGGCGTCGGTGGCATAGCGGTTAGGACGCTCGCCGACCATGCACATGGTCCGGGGTTCGATCCCCGGCCACCGACGCACTCCTTTACCTCGCTAAGCCAGAAATAATACTGGTGAAGAGGAAAGGTTGGGCATGAGGCTAGCAACCCCATCCTGTAAAAATTAAAACACTGCTACCGAAACTTCAAGCCACTAGCTTGAAGCCCTATGTTCCACTGGGGAACGTGAAGGATAAAAAAAAATCCAGAGCAGATTTGTTATGTACGAGGCTAATAGTCACGCTTATCACATATGATGACTAGTGATGATGACATTACCCAGTTGCCATACTTGTTGAAGTGTAGGGCTCGTCGACTGCATACCGAGTGCTTGAGCAGTAGTGTGACGACAGAAGACAAGAGACTTGGTAATGGAATGTTTGTTTGCATTCTGATATACATTATGTATATGGGAAATTATGTATACCATATATGAAAATCGTCATTTACACAGATCCTCCGAGTTGTGCTTGCTATTTCTGCGCTTCGTATTGTGCTTCTTTGTTTCCTTTTCACGGAATATACACATTGGGTCATAGGAGTTATTGAAAAGAAAATTTTCTTTTCGACGAGTCATCATCTAGGCTGTACATTCGTGTGTATTTATATCAAATGGATGGGAAAGTTCCAGAATAATTTCCGGTTAAGTGTCAAATTAATAAAAATTACAATTAGGAATTAGTATGCCATAATAAACAGGGGGCGGATAAAACTCAAACAAAGTAGCATTATAATAACTCAGAAGATTGACATTGTGCTATTGGGGGTTAGAAATAACAAAATATACAGGATGTTTGGATAGAAAACTAATGTGATGAATAATTGTTTATGCAATCAGGGATTAAATATGTAGAAATAGTAAAATGACAAAATAAACAGGAAGAGTGGGTATGAAAATATGGTAGTGTAAACAGGGTTTAAGAAAACTTAAAATAACATGAATAAACAGGAAGTTTAGATAAGAGAGGTGATGAGATCGTCATTACTAAAAAAATCTACCTGTTTATGATGGCCATGGCAGGGAGAGGGGTTGGACGTATTTCTTTTGGATACAAAGCGTGGGTTTGAGCTTTTGGATAGCTAGCGCCTCAGCTATGCCCAGATGTCTTGATTTCACTCCCTTTGATAGGTTTGATTGAATCTTGTATATTACTTTGAAGGATTTTTCGAAAGGCGCTGAATATCCTGAGTTAACCAGATGTTCTGCCACTGAACTGTTTACACGTTTTCGGTCTCCTTTTACTAGCCAGGTTGGGTAGCGTTCGCGAGCGCGTTTTTCAAGTCGGTGCATGGTACGGCCGATGTACTCAGCTCCACAAGAGCAAGTAAACTGGTATATGCACGTTGAGGTGGCCCAATGCGACAGCTTGTCTTTCACGTTCTAGCTGAACAGTTTCTTGCAGGAAAACGTCAGTCTTAGGCTCGCGGCGAAGTATGTTTTCCTCAGCGATTTGGAGAGGCGTTTGCGAAGGATTTCTGCTTCACTATCACCTTTGAATTCTAGATTAAGCAGAAGTATTTTCTTTGGAACGGATTGGACTTGTTCGGAAGTCTTCTTTTCGTGTCTTCCATGTTTTTTCGCAATACTGGTTGGTTCATTTCCTCTGTCTTTCACACTCAAATCTATCTCTTGGCTATTTGATTTTATTGTCCCGATGACCGTCTCCCTATATACTACTGATAGATCTTGTCAGTAGCACATGCCACGGTAGTAATAGTAGTATGTAAACCCAAAATGTATTGAATTTGTATTAAAGGAAAATTCAGCATTAACAAAGTTACTGTTAGTCATCCTCAAGTAAAGGGGAATAACCGATAAGGGTTAGTATAGTGAATTACGTCATTACTACTACCTAGAAACTAGATAAGAAACCAAAATAGACATGTCGATATAACTCATTGTTTCACAGAAAATATGTGGTGTATGAATGTAATGAATATTTACAAATCATCAGTACGTGAGGTAATAACGCGTCTAACTGGATAAAATATAACTTTTGAATGGTTGTTTGAGATATGTTATAGTAAACTGTGTAATTGAGTATCGAGCTTCCGTAAAGTAACAAACAACTTTTAGCTGCATCATCATATCGATTATCATTATTTATTATTATTGTTTCCTTTAATTCCTAGAGGGACATAAGGCTTCAGCCGTGCGTCTCCATTGCGTTTGGTTCTCTTCTAGAGTCTTTACCTGGCTCCAAGCCTGTCCACACGTTTTCATCTCCTCTTCACATGACCTCCCCCAAGTCACCCTTGCACTGACGACCAACTCGCCGCTTCCCTTTTAGGTTCCACTCAATGGTTTGTCTAGTGATGCCACTTGATTGTTTCCTCAGAGTATGGCCAATCCATCTCGATTTCTTCCTGCCTATTTGTTTCACAATCGGCTTCTGGTTGGTTCGCTCATTGCCAGAGATCCCTTTTGCTGATCTTTTCTGGCCATCTGCTTGAGGCCGGTCACACGCGGCCTGTTTTTGTTTGTTCTTTCTCGCTTGGTGTGTCTCAGTAGCATATTTATCACTTCTGCCCCTGTGACACAGCAGCAGGAAGCGCGGTCGTTGTTCATCAGGGCCCCGGCCGATCCGGCATGATATTTTGTGAGTTTGTTTGAATCATAGAATAAAGCGGATGCCCGGCGCTCTTCACCGGGTTGACTGTCCATTGGATGACAGTCTAGGGGAGATGGCTAATCCCTGATTCTAAACCTCCAACGACTGGCGTATGAAGCTCACTGGAGCTCACCGGTAGACGTATGGACAAAGGGCTTGTTGGATGTCTGGCCCCATTCAAAAGGTGTATGAACCGAACTCCGGTCACCGGCTGCCAATGGATAGTGGACTCCCTACTGCCTTGTAGGTCACACTTGGTTGTGTAAAGGCTAGAGCTGCACTCTCAAACAAATGGCCGAGCGATTCTAGGGACATCACTAGTACCAAATTCCCATGGAACTCCATGAACTCATGTTCATGAAGCCGGCTCATCCTCCCGAATGAGATAGGCGAAGTAAAGTAAGTATTGGATTGGGTAGCTGCTTTTTGTCCAACGGCTATCCAAACAACCTTTCTGGCATGGTAGAACTTACAGGAACATAAGTTCCAGCCAGTGTAGCTCGTTGGGTCATTGCGATATGCAAGCCCGACCACCACATCAAGGTAGCAGCTATCGGTCGGGATCATATCGATAAAATCATGAATTGAATAGAAAACCAGAAACTGGATTTATACATATTATATTATTATTACCTTGGATTCCGAGTAGACCGCAAGGCTTCAACACAACGTTTCCATTTTGTCCTGTCCTCTACGGTCTTCTTAGACCGGGTCTGCAATTGCCCATAACTTTTTTATTTCATCTTCACACGATCTCCTCCATGTCACCCTCGGATTCCATTCAAGTTCCACTGGAGGACCTGACGCATGATGTCGTTTAACGGCCTCCTCAACGTGCATCCTATCCATCTCTACTTACCTCGGCATAATTGTTGAGCTAAAGATTCTTGGTTGGTTCATCTCCATAGTTTCTTGTTGCTAATTCTTCCTAGCCGTCTGATATTCAGCATGGTTGTTGATAAGAGTCTACAGCCTGTCAAAAATGTTTTTTTATGACGCGCTAAGTTTTTAAACCACATAGAAGGTCTGATGCTGAAAATCCGAAATTTGTTGTTTATGCTGAGTGCAGAATATCTCCAAATTGATTTCAAAGTGGTGAAAGTGTACTTTGCCTTTCCATTTCTAGTTTCGATATCCTGATTGATGACGCCTGCAGTTAAGGTGATGCTGCCTAGACAATGGAAGGAAGTTACCTCTTTCAAATTTCTTCCGCTGATAGATAGCGATTGTTGTTGGTGGTTGGTTAACTTCATCACCTCCGTCGTCTTTTCTATGTTCACTGGAAGTCCTTCCTTCACTGCCTGCCTGAAAGTCTCTGAGTTTATGTGACATAAGACATAAATTGTCTGAGAAATCCAGATCTTCCAGAGTCTTCTCGTCGGTGCAACGTATTCTCTGATAGGATTAGAAAGTCTCATATTTTTTTTTGATTGAAATGTGGCAGATAGTTGAAATGAAAAGTTTCATCTTCAAGTGTTGGTTTGTAGGGATTTGATTGGTTACAGGATTTTCATCATGAGCTGACATTAGTTAGAGAACCTGGGAGTACTGGAAAGCTGTTTCGTACTGGTTGCGGACTCTTCATCAGTACGCACCCACCGGGATTCGAATCCAGGACCTTCTGGTTTACAAGGCGAGCTCGTATACCATTAAGCCACTGGGACCCGATCCAATGACCCATGTTGATAATTTATGTGTTTGTATATGAATAATGTGGGAAACACATTACCAGCAACAGGTATTCATGTACTAGTCTATGGACTTTATTCATCGTGTAGTGCTGTAGAGAAGAAAAGACCGAGGAGGCTGGAAGGAATGTTGATTTGGTGAAACGTATTGTACATAGGTAAATTTGGTATACCATACTCTCAAACCGCCATTTGCACATCATTTACCACATCCTTGACGAATTGGTCGAATATCGTCACATTCGATAGCTCCTTGTATTCTGCATCACATGGCAACATTCTTCTCGTATTTCTCTTCTTTGATTGCTCTATCCAGTGTGCAAAACATATTGTTACTTTTCTGAATTCGCTCTCTGATATACTACTCATATCGGATTATGAGTAGCACTCGCCACACTGCCAGTGAAGCTACTTCTCATTTCTCCACAGTGGAGTTCTAACTCGAAGTTCTTTGACTGAAAGTCAAGTTTATCAGCTACATCTCTATTGGTATATATTGTTGTTGAACGATTGAAGACGGTTGGTAGGATGCCTTGAACATTGGTGTCGTGCTTGTTGACAATCACCAGTCAGCAAAGCGTAGCGTCTGCAGTCTTGAAAAGAACTTATTTCCCTTCTGAGAT